ATATTGTGGGTTGAAAAGGGGCAGACAAAATAAGATTTATTCTTCTTCTGCTACCTTTCCTTTTATTTTGATTTGTATTTTTTTGGTTTTGATTTATTTTTATTATTGTATATTGTATTTTTAATTAAATGAATACATTTTTAATTGAATAGTTAAAATTGTTAGAAAAACTGCTTAACTAATTAGTTCACCTGCTTTAAAAAGTAGAAGATTAACTGTGTTATACTGAGAGCTCCTTTATTGTCTGATCACTGTATTTTTAATCATTGGGGCTTGCCATACAATGACGAATCCATTACTCTACACCTAGACCTCATTTATTTCTTTATTCTTCTTCCACCACTTTTAATGTGGCTCGAATCAAAACTTATATCAAAATAACTGTCTTGGAGTGGAGAAGWGTGCTATTCAACAACTTTTTGATTCGAATTACTACTGCGGAGAAATTAACTAAAAACTGACCGCCACACAAGTCTGGTTTTTCAGACATCCGGACCAGCAGAGGGCGCAACCCTTGCTTCATGCTGTCCTGACAAGAAGCAGCTCTCTCTCTCTTTTTTTCAGAAGCGGTCCTCACATCATGTGACTTCTGAGACGCTCACACTAGCACACTTGGGCAAGCCCCTTTTAAATTTCTTCAGAAATTTTCTAGTTCAATATTATCCTCTTAATAAAAGTCAGTCTTTAACTGGTCAAAATAAAGAAGCCAACCAGAACCCTGGACCCGGACCAAGTCCAGCCCCACATCATGTCCCCCTGGAGTGGATCCGGTTCAGAGGAAGACTTTCAGGATGCACAGAAGTTCTGATCCTGCAGTCAGACTGATCCAAACAGGAAATAAAAGGGCCTTTCAAAATAAAAGTCCCTTAAACTGAAACACAGAGAAACAAACTCTGATCTAAACTTGAGTCAAACCAAACAGAACCCGTCACTGCTGTACTGACCCAAAACATCTGGTGACAGAATGTTCCTGCAGGAGCACAACACACAAACAMACAMACAAACACACAAACAACAAACAAACAGAAGACTCTTCAAGCATCAGACCTGAAGTTTGATCAGAATTAAACGTGATGCAGCAACACAGAGCTGCTTCCACCTGTTCCCGTCAGAAAGGTGACCCCAACACACACACACACACACACACACACACACACACACACACACACACACACACACACAGAACCTGCAGACAGACAGACGGAGAGCAGACTAACCCGGCGGCAGCATCATCCATGCTCTGGTCCTCACAGCCCCACATAAATCCACCTGAACCGATCCGTGTGTGTGTGTGTGTGTGTGTGTGTGTGTGTAGCAGTGTGTGTGTGTGTGTGTT